TTGGACATTGTTTGGGTTGGAGATTCTCGACCATTTATATTTTTTTCTCTCTCGTGTGTTTTCGTGCGTTTAGAGATGCGCCTCAATCGCGATTTCGGTCTTGGCATCTCAAACTATGCTTTCTGGACTTTTTAAAGATGCTAGATTTGGCCCTTCTCTAATCTACACACCTGTATTTCACTTGTGAAAGGCTATCGACTTGGAGAGTGTTTGAGTTGAAGATTCTCGCGCATATCAACTTTCTTTTCTTTCGTAAGTTCTCGCACGTTTAGAGATGCGCCACACTCGCGGTTTTGGTCTCGGCATCTCAAACTACGCTTATTGGACTTTTTAAAGATGCTAGATTAGGCCCTTTCTCAAATCTATACACGTGTATTTCACTTGTAGTAGTTTGTCGCTTTGGACAATGCTTGGGTTGGAGATTCTCGCCTATTTATATTTTTCCCTCTCGCGTGTTTTCGCGCGTTTAGAGATGCGTCACACTCGCAATTTCGGTGTCTGCATCTCACACTATGCTTACTGGACTTTTGGCAGATGCTAGATTTGGCCATTTCTCAAATCTACACACGTGTATTTTACTTGTGGTAGTCTCTTGCTATGGACAATGCTTGGGTTGGAGATTCTAACCAATTTTTCTTTTTTTGTCTCACGTGTTTTCGCAGGTTTAGAGATGCGCCACACTCGCGTTTTCGGTATCGGCTTCCCAAACTATGCTTACTGGGCTTTTCGAAGATGACAGATTTGGCCCTTTCTCTAATCTACAAACGTGAATTTTACTTGTGGAAGTCTATTGATTTAGACAGTGTTTAGGTTAGACATTCTTGCCCATATCAACTTTGTTTTCTCTCGTAAGTTCTCGCGCGTTTAGAGATACGCCGCACTTGTGTTTTAGGTGCGGGGATCCCAAACAATGCTTACCAAACTTTTTAAAGATGCGATTTATAGCCCTCTCCCAAATCTACATATAGCCTCTCTTTAACTCACTTAGTGACTAGAAACTCTAACTAACTCGAGAACTAACTCGAGAAGACTTTGGTTTTCAGTGAAATGGACGGAGGAAAAATTTTTTAACGCTTGGTTATAAGCAGTCTGGCCGAAATATAGCCACTTAGTGACTAGAAAGTCGCCGGGACTGGGCTACGCAAAGCGTGATTTTGACCAACTTTGGGTCGATTTCCAGGAACTTGGGCGATATTTCCGAGTCCCAGGGACTCTAAACTAATTCGAAAAGACTTTGGTTTTCAGTGAAATGGACAGAGGAAAAATTTTTAAGCGCTTGGTTATGAGCAGTCTGACTGAAATATAGGCCCTCTTTAACTCACTTATTTAAATGACTAAAAACTCGCCGAGACCGGGCTAGGCGCACTGTTCTTTTGACCAACTTTGGGTTGATTTCCAGGATTTTGGGCGATATTTCCGAGTCCCAGGGACTCTAATTCGACATAAAGCTGGTCAAAATCACGCTGCGCGTACCCCGGTCTCGGCGACTTTTTAGTCACAGTCACTAAGTGAGTTAATATCAAGACCAGACTGCTCATACTGCGTTCAAAAATGTTTTTTTCTGTTCATTTTATTAAAAACCGAACCCTTTACGAATTAGTTTAGAGTCCCNCTAAGTGAGTTAATATCAAGACCAGACTGCTCATACTGCGTTCAAAAATGTTTTTTTTTCTGTTCATTTTATTAAAAACCGAACCCTTTACGAACTAGTTTAGAGTCCTTAGGACTGGGAATTATCGCCCAAGTTCCTGGAAATCGACCTAAAATTTGTCAAAAATAACGCTGTGCGTAGCCCGGTCTCGGCGACTGTTTAGTCACTAAGTTAGTTAAAGAGGGGCTATATTTCGGCCAGACTACTCATAAGAAAGGGTTCAAAAATTTTTCCTTTGTCCATTCCACAGAAAGTTAAAGTCTTTTCGAATTAGATTGGAGTCCCTGGGACTCGGAAATATCGACCAAGTTCCTGGAAATCGACCCAAAGTTGGTCAAAATCACGCTGCGCGTCGCCCAGTCTCGACGACTTTCTAGTCAATAAGTGGCTCATGATATTTCGCCCAGAATACTCATAACCAAGCGTTCAAAAGTTTTTCCTTTGTCCATTTTACTCAAAACCAAAATCTTCTCGAATAAGTTTAGATTCCCCGAGACTCGGAAATATTGCCCAAGTTCCTTGAAATCGACCTAAAGTTGGTCAAAATCACGCAACGCGTAGCCCGGTCTCGGCGAATTTCTAGTCACTAAATGAGTTAAAGAGGGCCTATATTTCCGCCAGACTGCTCATAATCAAACGCTTAGAGATTTTTCTTCTGTCCATTTCACTGAAAACCAAAGTCTTGCCAAATTAGTTTACAGTCCCTAGGATTCGGAATTATCGCCCAAGTTCCTGGAAATCGACCAAAAGCTGGTCAAAATCACGTTGCGCGTAGCCCAGTCTTGGCGACTTTGAGGACTGTTTAAATCGATACACTTCCACAAGTGAAATACACGTGTGTAGATTTGGGGAGGGCGGTAAGCATAAGTTGGGATACTCACAACAAAATCTCGAGTTTTCCGCATTGCTAAACGCGCGAAAACACGCGAGTGAAAAAAGATATAAATGGACGAAAATCTTTAACCCAGGCATTGTCCAAAGCGACAGACTTCCGCAAGTAAAATACACGTGTGTAGATTTGGGAAAGGGCCAAATCTAGCATCTTTAAAAAGTCCAGTAAGCATAGTTTAAAATCCCGACACCAGAACCGCGAGTGTGGCGCATCGCTAAACTCGCGAGAACTTACTAGGGAAAAGAAAGTTAATATAAACGAGAATCTCTTACCCAAGAACTGTCCAAATCAAGAGACTTCTACAAGTGACACACACGTGTTTAGATTTGGGGGAGGGCTATAAGTAGCATTTCTAAAAAGTTAGGTAAGCATTGGTTGGGATCCCTGCACCTAAAACGCGATTGTGGCGCATCTCTAAACGCGCGAGAACTTACAAGAGAAAAGAAAGTTGATATGGGCGAGAATCTCCAACCTAAACACTTTCCAAATCGATATACTTCCATAAGTGAAATACACGTAGGTAGATTTGAGAGAGGTCTAAAAATAGCATCTTTAAAAAGTTAGGTAAGCATTGGTTTGGATCCCCGCACATAAAACGCGAGTGTGGCGCATCTCTAAACGGGTGAGAACTTACGAGAGAAAAGAAAGTTGATATGGGGAACAATATCCAACCTAAACTCTGTCCAAATTGATAGACTTCAACAAGTAAAATACAAGTGTGTAGATATAAAACACAGCTAAAAGTAACATGTTTAAAAAGTTAGGTAACCATTAGTTGGGATCCCGCACCTAAAACGCGAGTGTGGCGCATCTCTAAACGCGCGAGAACTTACGACAGAAAAGAAAGTTGATATGGGCGAGAATCTCTAACCCAAACACTCACTAAATCGATAGACTTCCATAAGTAAAATACACGTGTGTAGATTTTAGGAAGGGCCAAAACTAGCAACTTTAAAAAGTCCAGTAAGGATAGTTTGAGATGCTGACATCGAATTCGAGAGTGTGGCGCATCTTTGAACGCGCGAAAACACGCGAGAGAAAAAAAATATAAATAGGCGAGAATCTTCAACCCAAGCATTGTCCAAAGTGACAGACTTCCACAAGGGAAATGCAAGTTTGTAGATTTGAGAAAGGGCCAAATCTAGCATCTTTAAAAAGCCCAATAAGCATAGTTTGAGATGCCGTCACGAAAACCCCGAGTGTGACGCATCTCTAAACGCACGAGAGCTTACTAGAGAAAAGAAAGTTGATAAGGGCGAGAATCTCGTACCCAAGCACTGTCCAAATCGATAGACTTCCACAAGTAAAATACACGTGTGTAGATTTGGAAGAGGGCTAAAAGAAGCATCTTTAAAAAGTTAGGTAAGCATTGGCTGGGATTCCTGCACTTAAAACCGAGGGTGTCGCATCTCTAAACGCGCGAGAGCCTACGAGAGAAACAAAGTTGTCATGGGCGAGAATTTCCAACCCAAAAACTGTCCAAATGCATAGACTTCCACAAGTAAAACACACGTGTGTAGATTTGAGGGAGGGCTAAAAATAGCATCTTTTAAAAGTTAGGTAAGCATTGATTGGGATCCCCGCACATAAAACGCGAGTGTGGCGCATCTCTAAGCGCGCGAGAACTTACAAGAGAAAAGAAAGTTTATATGGGCGAGAATCTCCAAATTAAACACTGTCCAAAGCGACAGACTACCACAAGTGAAATACACGTGTGTAGATTTGAAAAAGGGCCAAATCTAGCATCTCTAAAAAATCCAATAAGCATAGTTTGATGTGCCAACACCAAAACCGCGAGTGTGGCTCATCTCTAAACGCGCGAGAACTTACTAGAGAAAAGAAAGTTAATATGGGCGAGAATCTCGTACCCAAGCACTGTGCAAATCGATAGACTTCCAGAAGTGAAATACACGTGTGCAGATTTGAGTGAAAGGCTTTAAGTAGCATCTTTAAAAAGTTTGATAAGCATTACTTGGGATCCTTGCAACTAAAACGCGAGTGTGGCGCATCTCTAAATGCGGGAAAACGTACGAGAGAAAAGAAAGTTTATATGGGCCAGAATCTTGAACCGAATCACTCTCTAAATCGATAGACTTATACAAGTGAAATACAATTGTGTTGATTTAAGAAAGGGCCAGATCTAGCATCTTCAAAACGTCCACTAAGCGTAGTTTGAAATGCCGACACCGACATCGCGAGTGCAGTGCATCTCTAAATTCACAAAAACACGCGAGAGAAAAAAATATAAATGGGCGAGAATCTCCAACATTGTTCAGAGCGACAGACTACCATGAGTGAAATACACGTGTGTATTTAAAAAGTCCAGTAAGCATAGTTTGAGATCCAGACACCAAAACCGCGAGTGTGGCGCATCTCTAAACGCGTGAGAACTTACGAGAGAAAAGAAAGTTGATATGGGCGAGAATACCCAACCCAAACGCTGTCCAAATCGATGGACATCCACAAAATAAATACACGTGGGTAGATTTGGGGGAGGGCTAAAAGTTGCATCTTTAAAACGTAAGGTAAGCACTGGTTGCTATACCCGCACTTAAAACGTGAGTCCAAATCGAAAGACTTCCACAAGTGAGATACACCTGTGTAGATTCGGGAGAGGGCTAAAAGTAGCATCGTTAAAAGGTTAGGTAAGTATTGTTTGGGATCCTCGCACCTAAAACGCGANAAATCGATGGACATCCACAAAATAAATACACGTGGGTAGATTTGGGGGAGGGCTAAAATTTGCATCTTTAAAACGTAAGGTAAGCACTGGTTGCTATACCCGCACTTAAAACGTGAGTGTGGCGCATCTCTAAACACACAAGAACTTACGAGAGAAAAGAAAGTTGGTATGGGCGAGAAACTCCAGCCTAAGCACTGTCCAAATCGATAGACTTCCACAAGTGAAATACGTTTGTGTAGATTTGGTGGAGGGCCAAAACTAGCATTTTTAAAGAGCCACGTAAGCATAGTTTGGGATCCCCACACAAAAACCGCGAGTGTGCCGCATAGCTAAACGCGCAAAACCACGCAAGTGAAAAAAAGATATAAATTGGCGAGAATCTTTAACCCAAGCATTCTTCAAAGCGACAGACTTCCACAAGTGAAATGCACGTGTGTAGATTTGAGAGAGGGCTAAAAGTAGCATCTTTAAAAAGTTAAGTAAGCATTGGTTAAGATCCCCGCACCTAAAACGCGAGTGTGGCGTATCTCTAAACGCGCGAGAACTTACTAGAGAAAGGAAAGTTGATATGGGCAAGAATCTCTCACCCAAACACTGTCCAAATCTATAGACTTTTGCAAGTGAAACACACGTGTGTAGATTTGGACGAGGGCTAAAAGTAACTTCTTTAAAAAGTTAGGTAAGCATTGGTTCGGATCCCCTTACCTAAAACGCGAATGTAGCGCATCTCTAAACGCGCGAGAACTTACGAGAGAAAAGAAAATTGATATAGGCGAGAATCTCTTACCAAAGCACTGTCCAAATCGAAAGACTTCCACAAGTGAGATACACCTGTGTAGATTCGGGAGAGGGCTAAAAGTAGCATC